GTGTACAGCCCATTGGTGGCATGACACTGTAACTTCCATAGCTTTTAGTGGAACTTTTTAAAATGTTTGCTTTATTTCTTTTTCCAACAAGAAGCCAGGAGTTGTCTCATTATGCATCTATTCTTGGAGTCATGTATGTTGAAAAAGGTACAGTTCCTTAAGCATTTCATTAAGTCTGATAAGTAAATAAAAGAATATCCTGTTGTTGTTGTTTTTTTACCACACTGGAATAAAAAAACAGAAGATGATTCTTAGAGCAGGTAATGGATTTAGAGTCTCTAGACTTCATTCATAAGATCTGAACTGGCTGATACCTCCATTTTTTTTCCTTAAAAGACCATTTTCGGGGCTTTTTGCTTTAGAAATACAGATATAAATTATAGTAAGTATGCAACTTTGAAGAATTTAGAACTTAGCAGGAGAGGTGGGAAGAATAAAGACAGTTACGATAGTGAACGCATAATATTAGAAAGGACTTTTTTTTCCAAATCCCAGAGTTTACCATTGACAAATCCAGGAAGAGAATCTGCATATTTCTACCCTTTGCTAACAGTGTTGAGAAATACAAAGTAATTTTCAATTCAACTCTATATCCCTAATACTTCACAGTCTCCTTGAGAATGTATGACAGTCAACAAACAAAGAAGTAATAGCAGACAGAGCATGAGACTGAATAAGCAGCACTACAGTACACTGAATGCAAAATTATGCACCTGCATTGGGCAGGTGAAAATAGTGTGGGGTTAAATCAGTCACTCAGTGATGTGAAGATTTTGAAGAACTGGAAGAAATACAAATTCAGTTTCAATAATGAGACTTTTCTAACCATAAACTCATCAACAGGGAAGGTGAATTTCTGATCCCTTGAAAGTCTTCAATGTTGAACATCATCCTGCCATTTTGTTTTGTTTTATTTTTTTAAGTTCTGGAAGACAGGAGGTGCAGGTTTGTTACACAGGTAAACGTGTGCCATAGTGGTTTGCTGCACAGATCAACCCATCACCTAGTTCTTAAGCCAAAGTGCATTAGCTCTTTTCCTTAATGTTGTCCCCCACCCCTCATCCTCCTCTCTGGTCCTGGCATGTGTTGTTCCCTTCCCTGTGTCCATGTGTTCTCATCGTTCAGCTCCCATTTATAATAACATGCAGTATTTGGTTTTCTGTTGCCGCATTAGTCTGCTGAGGATAATGGCTTCCAGCTTCATTCTTATCCCTGCAAAAGACATGATCTCATTCTTTTTTATGGCTGAATGGTATTCCATGGTATATATGTACCACATTTTCTTCATTCAGCCTATCATTGATGGGCATTTGGGTTGATTTCATCCTGTGCTATTGTGAATAGTGCTGTAATGAACATATGCATGCATGTATCTTTATAATAGAATGATTTATATTCCTTTGGGTATATACCCAGAAGTGGTATTTCTGTGTCAAATGGTGTTTCTGGTTCTAAATCTTTGATGAATCACCACACACTTTTCCACAATGGCTGAACTCATTTATATTCCCACCAACAATGTCTCTTGAATATAGCATGCTGGTAGGTCCTGTCTTTTTTACTCAGCTTGCTATTCTGTATGTTTTAATTGGGGCATTTAGCCCATTTACTTTTAAGGTTAATATTGTTATGTGTGAATTTGAAGTTGTCATCATGATATCAGCTGGTTAATTTTGCAGACTTGTTAATGTGGTTGCTTCACAGTGTCATTGGCTCACGTATTTTACTGTGTTTCTGTAGTGACTGGTAACAGATTTACCTTTCCATGCCTAGTGCTTCCCTCAGGACCTCTTGCGAGGCAAGCCTGGTGGTGACAAAATTCCTCAACATTTGCATGTCTGAAAAGAATTTTATTTCTCTTTTGCTTATGAAGCTTAATTTGGCCAGATATGAAATTCTGGGTTGGAAATTTTTTTTACTAAATGTTGAATTTTGGCCCCCAGTCTTTTCTGACTTGTAGGGTGTCACTGAGAAGTCTGCTGCTAGTCTGATGGGTCTCCCTTTGTAGGTAACCTAGCCTCTCTCCCTGGCTGCCCTTAACATTTTCTCCTTCATTTAAACCTTGGGATTGATCTTCTGGTGGAATACTTTCTGGGATTGCCTGAATTTCTGAATTTGAATGTTGACCTGACTTGCTAGGTTGGGGATATTCTCTTGGATGATATCCTGAAGGGTGTTTTCCAGCTTGGTTCCATTCTCTCCATCTTTTTCGGGTATTCCAATCAGTCATAGGTTCAGTCTGTTTATACAGTCCCATAGTTCTTGGAGGTTTTATTCATTCCTTTTTATTTTTTTTCCCCCCTCTAATCTTGTCTCCTTGCCTTATTTCAGCAAGATAGTCTTCAAGCTCTGATATTCTTTCTTGGGCCTAGTTGATTCAGCTATTGATACTTGTGTTTGTATCATGAAGCTCTCCTGCTGTGTTTATCAGCTCCATCAGGTTATTTGTGTTCCTCTCTAAACCAGTTATTCTAATTAACTGCTTCTGTAATCTTTGATCATGATACTTCACTTCTTTGCATTGCGTTAGAACATATCCTTTAGCTCAGCCAAGTTTGTTATTACCCACTTTCTGATGTGTGCTTCTTTTTTTTTTTTTTTTGAGACGGAGTTTCGCTCTTGTCACCCAGGCTGGAGTGCAATGGCGCGATCTCGGCTCACCGCAACCTCCGCCTCCTGGGTTCAGGCAATTCTCCTGCCTCAGCCTCCTGAGTAGCTGGGATTACAGGCACGCGCCACCATGCCCAGCTAATTTTTTGTATTTTTTTAGTAGAGACGGGGTTTCACCATGTTCACCAGGACAGTCTCGATCTCTTGACTTCATGATCCACCCTCTTCGGCCTCCCAAAGTGCTGGGATTACAGGCGTGAGCCACCGCGCCCGGCTCTCATGCCTACTTCTGTCACTTCATCCATCTTAGCTTTTGCCCTGTTCTGTGCCCTTGCTGGAGAAGTACTGAAATCATTTGAGGAGAAAAGGCCTTCCAGCTTTTGAAATTTTCAGCCGTTTTACACTGGCTTTTCATCATCTTTGTGGATGTGTCTACTTTTAATCTGTGAGGCTGCTGACCTTCGGATGGGTTTTGTGGGGTCTTTTTTGTTGATGCTGTTGTTGTTGCTTTCTGTTTGTCTTCTTTTAACAGTCAGGTCCCTCTTCTGCAGGTCTGCTGCGGTTTGCTGGGGTCCACTCCAGACACTGTTGGCCTGGATCTCACCAATGGAGGCTGCAGAACAGCAAAGACTGCTGCCAGCTCCTTCCTCTGGAAGCTTCATCCTAGAGGGGCATTGACCTGATGCTACCCAGAACTCCTCTGCGTGAAGTGTCTGGGTGTCTGGCAACCCTGTTGGAGGCATGGGATCAGGAGCCCACTTAAGGAAGCAGTCTGGCTATCCCTTAGCAGAGCTGGTGTACCATGCTGGGGGACTCCCCCTTGTCTGGATCGCTGGGACTCTTCAGAGCCAGCAGACAGGAGAGACTAAGCTGGCTGACCCTGAGACCACAGCCGCCCCGCCCCCGAGATGCTCTGTCCCAGGGAAATGAGAGTTCTGCCTGTAACCTTCTGGCTGGAGTTGCTGGAATTCCTTCCAGGATGCCTTCCTTGCCCAGTGAGGAGGGATGGGTCCAGGTCCCACCTAAAGAAGCAGTCAGGCCATGATCTGCCACTGCGGCTGTGCTACACTGTGGCAAGTGCAGCCCCATCCAAACTGCCCAGCCTCTGCAGCTCCAGGAGGGGAGAAGCACTGAGGAGAGCTACAGCAACGGCAGTTGCCCTCCCCTGGGGAACTCGGTCATCTTAGGCAGACTCCACGCCGCTGTGCTGGCTAATCAGGATTCTAATCCAGTGGATCTAAGCTTGTAGGCTTCTGTGAGAGGGACCCACTGAGTGAGGCCATTTTGCTCCCTGGCTTTAGCCTGCTTTCCATGGGAGTGGACGGTACTCTTGCCTCACTGGAGTTGCTGGAGTATGTAAAAACTGCAGCTCAGTGCCCGCCCCAACCCGCTGACCAGAGCAGCAGCCGAGGGTCTACCCAGTTTTGTGCTTGAGACTCAAGGCCCTGGTGGCATATGGTCACGAGGCCATCTCCTGACCCTGGATTGCAAAAATCCTGGGAAAACAACTACCCCCGTGCATAGCACAGTCCCTCACTGCCTCCCTTGCCTGAGGGAAGGAGGTGCCTTTGTCCCTTGTAGCTCCTGGGTGAACTGCCACCCAGCCCTGCTTTTCCTTGCTCTCTGTGAGTTGCACCAACTGCCTAGATAGTCTCAATGCGAGGATTTGGGTACCTCAGTTTGAAATGCAGTAACTCACCTTGGGTGTTTGTCTCGGGAGAGTTGCAGACCGGAGCTGTTTCTACTCGGCCATCATGGCTCCTCCCTCACCTTTTTCTTTCTCCTTTCATTAACTGTTCTTCTGGATATATCTCTTTTATACAATCACATGTTAATTCTCCACCAGCCTGAGACTACTTCTACAACCAGCTTTCATTCAGGGGATATCAAAAAGCAAAGGTAAACTTTCACCTCAGTAAAAATTAAATGTTGTAGCCATCTTTGGTAGTAAAAGGGAAGCACGCCAGGGGGTAGACAGAGGGTTTTTTCAGCATTATCTCCAATAAAAGGTTAAGAGCACAGGGAGACAGAGAGGGGAAGGCATCCTGAGGAGCCATTGACACAGTTTAAGCAGGAAATGTGAACTATTTGGTTAATTCTTATGAGGAAGTGAAAAACGACTTGTCAGATTGAACTCTTTCAGGATTTGTGTTTTTATGTGATCAGAGAAAGAAAAATTGTGAGATCAGGAACAGAGGAGACAGATGGATAGAAGAAGGTGCGGGGGGCACAGGAAAAAGGAAAAAAACAGGCTGAGGTTTCAACCCACAGGACAATGTTTTGCCAGTTTCATTTTTCCCCCAACACAGGAAGAAAGTAAAGTCCAGTACTTGGATGCCAATTTGCTGACGACAAGGCACTTCCTGACAATTAGTCTGGGAAGTTCTGGGCAGCAGTTTCACAATCTGTGATTACATGTTTCCGCCCTTTGTAAGAGGAAATACACAGTTTACTTTCAGTTTTGAGTGTGAGCCTCTTTTCCACGAAGCAGGAAAGGACAGAGGCTGTTACCCATGGCAGGTGAGTTCTTTTCTAACTAGAGCTTGTGAGTAGGATTTTAGAAAGCCCTTGACTTATTGCTGTGTTATAAACACAAGAAAGGAAGCTGATAACATGCATACTGAACTCTTTTGCTTACCGGTTATGTGTAGTGTGAATTACGGGGCCTGGTGTTAGAGACGCTGAAAGAGATAATATGTTTTCAGATGTCTTTTAGACAGAAAGAAGTTAATCCCTTTCTTTTAGCTTCTGTTAATCAAAAGGAGGGTAAAGAAAGCCAGAGGAAGTTATTTGTGTGAGACAATTCTAGAAGGTTCAAAATGCACTCTGAAATCTTTTCTGCTTTCTCTTGATTCCAAATTAATTGCCCACATCACAAACCTTTCTCCCGTAATTAGATCTGAGAGTCTCTGAATTCTGACCCTTTTTGCCATCTCTTACTGTGAAGTACATTCATGGTCTGTTTAAAGTTGCTGCTTTTTTCCCTTTCTCTCTAGTCCGTGTAGTGACTACTCGGATGCAGTATTTCATGGGTTACTATCACAGTTGTTTTGTTTTGCTGTTGTTGTTGTTGTTGAATTGGTCTCCCTCTCGCTAGGACTTAACCCTCCAATCCTTTCTGCACACGACTTTCAGGTCATGTGTCTTATAAACAGAAGCTGGAAAAGCCTAAGGGATAGAGTTATGAGTTACTTAGGCAGCTAGTATTCCAGCAGGTCATATCACATCTTTGGTTTCACTCTCCTTATAGGAAAAAAAAAAGAAATTGGACTGGATCAGTGAATTCTAAACCTTATAACATACCACAGTAATCTGTAGTCATATTTAAAAAGTCAATGACTACCAATGACTAAAAAAGTCAATGACTGCCCTATTTCTCAACCTGAATAGCTCAATCTTAAACACCTTGCAGGCACTTATTACCTTCTGAAGCTCTGCAGATAATTCTTATGAAACTGACCTGGCATACGTTTGTCTGTAGATCAGTGTCATTAGGAAAGTGGATCAGTTAGTTAACTCTCTCTGCTTACCTGCTAGTGATCTATTAATGTAATTCACTTTGCTCAGGGACATACAGTGGCTTTCTATTGCCTTTAAAAAATATATACGAATATTCAGACAAGTTTTTCTACCTTTCGAAACATGTGTATCTATTTTTTCTGTTAATCCCTATTAAGCATGATTTCAGCTTCATTAAAAAATTACTACATTTACTTCACTCATATTTGCTTGTTGTTCAGTTTCTTTACTCCTTTGATTCTTGCTATAGAACAATTCTCTCCTGGATTTATGACTCACCTCACAACATTTAGCTTAAGCTCCTGGAATCAAGGGACCTTAGATAATAGATAATATTATATAATAGATTAGATAATAGAAATATTAGATAATAGGAGAAATTGAAAGTCACTAGTCAAAAACAAGTCAGGGTTTGATAATTATAAACATCCAATAGAGTCAGATATTGTTACCATAAACTCTTGAGGAATTGTGTCCTATAATGCATTTGAGCACTGAGTCACTTTGCCTGGAACAAAAACTGTGGTCCTGATGAGTTTTTTCCTGCAACTGATTCCTTCCATTTTTATTATCACTTCAGCTTTCATTCAGTGATTATTATAATAACAAAAACACTATAATAATGGTTTCTTTAAAAAATACTATATAATAGCTATTTTGCGCACTCTCTCTGATTTAATGTTTAAAACCAGTCAATACGGTTGTGCTATTGTTACCATATTAGGGTGGAAGGGAATACTTAGAAAATGCCTTCAAATATGCTGTAGGTCAAAAGTCTGTTGAGAGGAGTGATGCCAGGTTGGCATGACTCTCAGACTCCGCCATTACTCTTTCTGCAGACATCTTTAAATATTTGCCCTGTCTGTCATCACTCCCACTTCAGTCCTTGCTTCACACTTCCATTCCTTCTAAAGCCCAGCACTCCCAGTTTTCTGGTAACATCAGACACCCTCAAGCCTTTGTGCTTCTTCCCACACTGCTCTCTGCCAGGAGACAAACCCCCAGTTGTCCAAGGGACAAATTCCTACTGGTCCTTCAGGTCTCAGTGCCAAGCTCTTTCTTCTCAAGACAGCTATCTTCCATCTGAGACACACTTCGCTTATGCTTTTCTTGAGCATATGCTCATTATTTACATCCTTGTAATATATTTTATCTTACTTATTTGCTTACGTCTTTCTACTTGACTCTAAGCTCTAATTTGTAGGAACATGTTTCCAGAATGGTACCCCCAATACTAGCAGAGTAAGTTTCAAGAATTGATGCTTATTAAATATTCCCGAATGGATAGGAGAACGAACGTGTCTTCCTTCTGTTTGAAACTTCCAATGTGCACTTATTGGCTGTTATATGAAATGAAACTTACCTGGTTTGCTATTAAGAATTTGTAACCACTCAACGGGTTCACCTTGCCCACTGCTTAGACAGAGCTGATTTATCAAGACAGGGGAATTACAATGGTGAAAGAGTATTCACACAGAACGGGCTGTGTGGGAGACTGGAATTTTATTATTACTTAAATCAGTCTTCTAGAGCATTCAGAAATCAGAATATTTAAAGATAATTTGGCAGGTAGGGGATTGGGAAGTAGGCAGTGTTAATTAGTCAACTGGGAGATGGGATCATAGGATGTCAAAGTGAGGTTTGATTGCCGTCTTCTCTTCCTAGGTTTGATGTCAGAACTTGCTGGGACAGATTACTGGTCGAAGCGGTGTCAACTGATTCCACTGAATATAGTGTCTGCAAAATACCTTAAATACTGACTTTAGGTTTTACAATAGTGATTTATTCCCAGAAACAAGTTGGGGTCATTCAGACTCTAGGAGTCAGAAGCTACATGACCCCTAAATTGTAATTTTTAATCTTGTGGCTGAATTTTTTAGTCTTGCAAAGGCAGGCTGAACCCCAGGCAAGAAGGGGGTCTTTTTGGAAAAGGACTGTTATCAATTTTGTTTCAGACTCAAATCATGAACTGCATTCCTTCTCAAAGTTAGTTTGGCCTATGCTAGGAATCAACAAGGACAGCTTAAGGGTCAGAAGCAAGACAGAGTTGGTTAGGTCTGATTTCTTAGGCTGTCATAATTTCCTCAGTTATAATATTGCAAAGGTGGTTTCAGCCCCTCCCTTGGGGTTTTATAACAGCTTTATCTTAAGGTGTAGGTTATGAAGATGGAAAAAGGCCATTAATCATTCTGGCTTCTACCTGCTGACAGGGGACATAGTGGAAATTGAAGTGAACCCCAAGGTGAGAAGAGTGGAACTGCTTTGCAACTGTCTGAGCATACTCATGCAGGCCTGGCTAAGCTTCCAGTGCTTGCATGACAAAACATTAGTACTCTCCTTTGTTGTATTACTACCGTATTTATGTGAAGAGCCTCCTGTCAAGTAAATAAGAGTCCTAGGATGAGGAGTAAAATTCTCAATTTTAAAAACAAAGATGGAAAAGCCTAGTTTGGGAACTGCTAATCCACAAAGAATTTAGGATTTATTCCAAACTGTAGAAAAACACTCAAGGACAGCTAACAACAGGTAGATTATAGGTTTTCTTTTGAGGCTTAACTTTTGTCTCTCCAGACCCCATTTGTATTAAAAACAAGTTATGAGAGAACTAATTTCTTTACAAAAATAATCTTTAGTCTTCCTGTACTTGGCCTGATTATTTGCATAAAGTGCAGCAAGAATAACTATTTTTCATTTAGGCTGCTTTTTGTTTAAATTGGCCTTGATGGAACTCTGTTTCATGAGGAATCTCAGATAAGACTTTTTAAGTGCCACGCCCTGCCATGTGTTTGTACCCTGAAATAACTATAAATTGGGTAAATTCCTCTCCTCTCAAGATTCCAAGATAACTTGGAGATCCTGATCCTGTTAGAAAGTGACATAGTGACATTCTTTACTTACTATGGATCAAGAACCTTGTACAAGGACTCTGTGTAGGCAAGGTATGAGGCCAGATTCCCCACAGGGCTTTTATTGGCTTTATAATTCAACTTTGATTCTTTAAAGGAAGCATGTTATTCCAGTCAAAGCCTTGGTAAAATAACCAGTTTCTCCAATTGTGTCCTGTTACAAAAGAAAACAGATTCTTATTGCACTTATGCAATTAACTGTAGTGCCATAAATTGAGAATACTTACAAATAGTTTCCAAATTCTGATAAATCAGGTAGAGAGAAACAAATATGCTTCAAATTTTTTTCACGGGAGTTTATTTTACTTACTTGTTAAAAGTAGCAAATAGCTCTAAAAAAATAAGTTATCTTGACTCTGAAAACAAAAGGATTAGCAATTTCTAACCCATCAGCTCTCCATGAGAGTCCTAGAAGTTTTGTTTCTTCCTCTATTCCAATAGCACAATTTTTAAAGTTATCTGAGACCTGCAGTCAGAGTCCTATATCTGATTATAAACTGCCTTTTGAAAAGGACCAAAGCAAGGCAAAATGTGTGTGGATGACAAAAGTCTATAGACATGTTAAAGCTACAACTGACTAGGAATTTTTCTTATTTCAATGGCATTAAACAATTTTACATAACAATTATAATTACTAACAATGTACACAGAATTATATCAGAATTATAGAAGTCTATACAAATACAAAGACAGAAAACATTCAGCACTTGTAAGATTTCTATTTGTCAGCTTTTTAATTGGATTACTGGCTTCAGGGTGGAGCCGTTGGAGGAACAGGGCCAGGAAAGCATGCAATTTTTTTCCTAGCTCAATAAGCAGGCATAGCTGAAGGCAAAGACAGATCTCCAAACTTAAGGGTGCAATTTTGTACTAGATCCTGGATCCCCAAAGGAGGGAAATACTACTGGAATAGACAATGCAGTCCCTCCACCCTGCATTTTATTGTAAGGCAACCTAAAGCCAATCAGCCCATCCTCAATCAGTCTCATCTCTCAGTAAGGGATAGGGATGTTTCCATATTTTCCAGGTGGCCTAGAGCGTGCTTCTCTGATCCAAGTGTGCAAAGAGCCAAATATCCCTCCAATAATACTATTAGCCATCCCTTAAAGTATATTTCCTACCTAGTTATTACATGACAAAGCTCTCTCACAATGCAAACTAATTTCTGATATCCCCAAAACTCAAACTGTCAGCAACAACACAATGCAAAACAGAACCTGGCCTTTGATTTTGAGAGGGATTTATCTACTTTTAATTCCTAGGGTTTCATGAAAAAAAACAGAGGGATTTTGTTTTTTGTTGTTCGTCATCCCCCAAATGCAGTCTGTGGTGCCTCCTCTATTTTTTCTGTGTTTTTGCAGGGAATCCCAGCCTACCAGAATTTTTCTTAGGGCCTCTCAAGTGTGCATTAAGAGTGGCAAGACAAAAAATGGAGAAAAACAATTCAGTTGACTGAGAAGAAAAAAACCTTTTACAGAAAAGCAAGACCCAAGAAAAGAAAAACATAAAGGCCTTTTCAATGTATCCATAGCTTGTTTATTCACTTTTAATTAAGCTGACTTTTAACCACAGTGATCTTTAAAAAATCCTTTTAAATTTCTTATTACCCAGCTTTAGCCCTATGACCAATATTTCTGGCTTTGGTGAGCAGTTTCTTTTTACAAGATTTAGAATTTCCCCAAGTTGGTTCAGAGAAAGGAAAATTCAAGAGAGGAAATCAGAAGCTAACCATGGGGGTGTGGGGAAACCTCAACAAATACCAAAGTTACGCAAATAGCAAACCAGAAAGAAGTCATTTCAGAAGCCAAGAATAGAGCTCACGCTGCTATTGTCGAAAGGCAAAGTCTTAGCTACTTAGTTGCTGCATTGAGCAGTTTCTATTGCTATTCCCAGGAGCCTAAAGAAGCCAATTTTAGGCTGGGCGTGGTGGCTCAAGCCTGTAATTCCAGCACTTTGGGAGGCTGAGGCGGGTGGATCACGAGGTCAAGAGATGGAGACCATCCTGGTCAACATGGTGAAACCCCGTCTCTACTAAAAATACAAAAAATTAGCTGGGCATGGTGGTGCGTGCCTGTAATCCCAGCTACTCAGGAGGCTGAGGCAGGAGAATTGCCTGAACCCAGGAGGTGGAGGTTGCGGTGAGCTGAGATGGCGCCATTGCACTCCAGCCTGGGTGACAAGAGCGAAACTCCGTCTCAAAAAAAAAAAAAAAAAAAAAGCCAATTTTAACTTTGCCAAGGCTTTTACCTGCTCAAGAAAAACTTTTAGGGCTAGATGATGTAAACCAAAAGAAAGTATCCCCATATGGTCACAAGATTAAGTTCTTAAGGAGACAAAACAAGCCAGAGAAATTTCATACAGTATTGGTTTCAGGGACATGTAGCAAAGTTTATAATTAGCCAGCCGGCTGAGCTGGCTTGAAAAGGAGTCTTATAGGGGTCCTAACATGATATTCTATCCTGTGATATTCTATCCTCTTTCCATTACAGAACACAGAAAGGCAAATACTTAGCACAAAATACACCAGATTTGCTACAGGCTAAGACTAGTCTTGTGAATTCTCTTTTCTAGTAATCAAACCTTTGCAGAGAAAAAAATAGTGATGTTTACTGTCTACAAAGATGGAGAAAGAGACCAGAAACTTGGTTGGTAAGAATTTCTTACCCTTTTTGCTGGCATACCAGTTTTCTGAATTTCCTTTCCCTGCAACTTCGAGAAGAACAGAATGGCTTCTGATGACCCTGCTTACTTCCCCATAGCTGTGGGATTCAAGCCATTTTACAAGAGAAAATTACTCTTTTCTGTGTTATGGAACCATGTGCAAGATTCTTAAAATGCAAGATACTTCCCAACCAGCTATGAGAGGAACCCAATTAACATTCTCCATCCCAGCAGAATACACACAACAAAACAGCCATTCGTCACCTTGTTGAGCACCCAGTATCAACCTGCAAAGCTCAAAGTTTTTCCTGTTCGTCCCTGTTGTCTTTGATTCACTGCAGGTGGGGAGGGACTACCTCAGAATGGTAATTCACAATGGGGTCTCTGGGTAAGTCGAGGAGCAGATGGTCACCATGAGATAGGCCTGTTAAGCTCTCTCCAGGGCTCACTGAATGTACCCAGACAAATAAGAGTCCCCTGAGTTAGGCCTGCTGGACTTCCTTTGGTAATTCCTTCTAATATCCCCTTCACATATACAAACACATGCAAAGATGAGACAGACAGAAGGTGTTCCAAATCAGATGATCCCAAACCAACAACTCCAAGAGTATTCCTTCCAAACTATCCTCCTATTCTCTGTCTGAGAAATCTCGAAATATTCCTGACTGAGGAGAATTGTCCTGAACCAAGACTCTTCTACTAATTGGAGCCAACTGAGACCCCCAAGGAGCTGAACAGACACCCCTTGGTGTTTCCCAGCCTACTTATCACTATCCACTGTTAGATTCTATGCTCTGTGAGGACAGGGGCCATGAACTACATTGACTTGACTACTGATTCCATAAATAATTAATAAATATCCCCCAGATGCCAAAAACAATGCAGGTGTAGTTCATGGCCCCTGTCCTCACAGAGCATAAAATCTAATAGTGGATAGTGATAAGTAGGCTGGGAATCACAAAATAATGGGAAAAATTTTAGAAGACTGGATACGGTGGCTCACTCCTGTAATCCAATCCCAGCACTTTGGGAGGCTGAGACACGTGATCACCTGAGGTCAGGAGTTCGAGATCAGCCTGGCCAACATGGTGAAACCCCATCTCTACTAAAAATACAAAAACTAGCCAGGCGTGGTTGTGTGTACCTGCAGTCCTAGCTACTCGGAAGGCTGAAGCAGGAGAACTGCTTGAACCCAGGAGCGGGTGGTTGCAATGAGCCAAGATAGCACCACTGCACTCTGGCCTGGGTAACAGAGTGAGACTCTGTCTCACAAAAATAAACATAGGCATAAATAAATGGAAAAAGAATATGCTATGCTAAGGAGATACAAGGTGCCCTAAGCATATATCTTTGACACTTTCCTCTGGAAGAATCGGAGAGGATTCCATGAAGAAAGTGTCATCTAATCTGAGACTTGAAGGATAGACAGACAGCAGTAGGAAAACGAGAAGGAATCAGAAGGTGGGGGCTGGAAATACAGAGATATCTAAATAGAAGCTTTTCAGAAATCAAGTGAAGGGCAGAATGTTTTGAATGTAATAAGCAAGGTGGAACCAGTATCAGAAGATGAGTGACTGAGAAGGCCTAGGATAGAATAGGCTGAGAGGTTTCATGGTCAAATCTAGATATTAGAAAACTCTCCATAGTGAAGAATAGAATAGAAGGGATGAAGAAC